CCACTGCACTCCAGTCTGGGCGACAGAGTGAGACTCCAACTCAAAATAAATAAATAATAAATAAATTAATAAATAAATAATAAATAAAAATTAAAAATAGCCAGGCGTGGTAGCACACGCCTGTAGTTCCAGCTACTTAGAAGGCTGCGGCCGAAGGATTGTCGGAGCCCAGTGGGTTGATGCTGGGGTGGCCATGAGTGTGCCACTGCACTCCAGTCTGGGCGATGGAGTGAGACTCTGACTCAAAAAAAAAAAACCAAAAACAACTTACCATGTCTTTCTCCTCATTTTCTCTCTGCTTTATCAGCCCACTCACTGCCCACCTCCTTCTCCAACCCTCGCCAAATTCAGCTTCCCATTATGATCAGCAGCATTCGCCATCTTTTCTTTCCCAGGGCAAGTATCACAACTCCTTTGCCCGTTACCATCATGAAACTCAGGATTTCCCATGCTTCCTATAACCACCCCACCTGCTTCTCTACCTCCAGTAGGCCCCATGAAATGAACCTGCTCTCCCACTTTCAGTTGTGAAGGCCAACGAAGTCACGAACCTCATCTTTCACCTGAACCCCCACCAACACTGAACCAGAGACGTATTCCACACGGTCCTCAAGGCTTCCCGAGTCTCCTTTCTTCTGTCCCCTGTTCCCTATCATTCTCCTCTAACGAGTTTCAAACTATACTTGTTCGGACCTTCCTGTTCAGCCTCTACTTATTGTAGTCTATCTCCTGGTTCATAATAATTCACAACCACGTATCTTTTTTTTTTTTTCCAGTTGGAGTCTCACTCCATCACCCAGGCTGGAATGCAGTGGCACACTCCCAGTCACTGCAGCCTCGATCTGCTGGGCTCAGGTGAGCCTTCAGCCTCAGTCTTCCAAGTAGCCAGAACTACAAGCACGCGCTACCATGCCCAGCTAGTTTTTGATTTATTGTAGAGATGAGATCTCGCCAAGTTGCCCAGGCGGGCCTCAAACCTGTGGGCTCAGACAATCTACTCGCCTTGGCCTCCCAAAGTGCTGGGATGACAGGCTGAGCCACCACACCCGACCAAATTACACAACTTCTAACTCTGATATTGTCCATCTTTACCCCCTAAACTATGTCTGTGTATTCAAAACCATGGTAGGCATCTCCTAGGGAATGTTCACAGCTTTTGCCTGTCCTTTCCCAGTAGGCAGAAGGGAAGAAAAACTGAAGACATCTGAAAGTCCACTAAGAGCTGGGCTCGATGGCTCAGCCTGTAATCCCACACCTTTGGGAGGCTGAGGTGAGTGGATTGCCTGAGCCCGCGGGTTTGAGACCCGCCTGGGCAGCGAGACCTCATCTCTACAATAAATCAAAAAATCAGCCGGGCATCGTAGCGCGCGCCTGTAATTCCAGCTACCTGGAAGGCTGAGGTGGAAGGACCGCCGGAGCCCAGCGGGTCGAGGCTGCAGTGGCCTGGAGCGGCCACTGCACTCCAGTCTGGGTGACAGCGTGAGACTCCAACCCAAAAAAGTCTACTAAAGAGAGAGAGCTCCTGAAGACCCTTACCCTCTGTAACGGATCTTCTAGAAGCTGGATGGCACTGCTGATGGCTTCCTGTGGCACATAGGAGGACTCTCCGTTGCCCTGAATCTCCAGCACTGCCATCTGCAGGGAAGAGGAATAAAGAGTAGAGGTCTAAGAACCTCAGTGTCCCCACAGTCGTTCCCTCAAGGCCAGCCCTCTGTCTGTCCTCTCTGCATTTCTCCTTCCACCTTCTCATCTGACCCCTTCTTTTCTTTCTCCTCCATTCTGCTCCCCTCACCTCCAGGGCACACATGCCAAAGGAGTAGATGTCCACAGCTGTTGTCACGTTAGTGACTTCTGGAAAAAACAGAAAAGGTTTTGGTTAATCAGAGGCCTAGGGGCTGGGGTTGGGGCAATGCCTTAAAAAACAAAAGCACAGGCCGGGCTCGGTGGTTCAGCCTGTAATCCCGCACTTTTGGGAGGCTGAGGTGAGTGGATTGCCTGAGCCCGCAGGTTCAAGACCCACCTGGGCAGCGAGACCTCAACTCTACAGTAAATAAAAAAATCAGCCAGACGTGGTAGCGTGTGCTTGTAGTTCCAGCTACTTGGAAGGCTGAGGCAGAAGGATCACCGGAGCCCAGCAGGTTGAGGCTGCAG